GACTACAGGCGCGCATCACCACGCCCGGCTAATTTTTGTATTTTTGATAGAGACAGGGTTTTTCACCATGTTGGCCAGGATGGTCTCAATCTCTTGACCTTGTGATTTGCCAATCTCAGCCTCCCTAAGTGCTGGGATTACAGGCCATGAGCCACCACGCCTGGCCTTCTTTTTTTTTTCTTTTTTTTTTGGCAGGGTCACTGTCATCCAGGCTGGAGTGCAATGGTGTAATCTTGGCTTACTGCAACCTCTGCCTCCCAGGCTCAGGTGATCCTCACATCTCAGCCTCCCAAGTAGCTGGGACTACAGGTACACACCACCACAACCAGCTAATTTTTTAATAGAGATGAGGTTTTTCCATGTTGCCCAGGCTGGTCTTGAACTCCTGAGCTCAAAAGATCCACGTGCATTGGCCTCCCAAAGTGCTGGGATTACACATGCTGTACTACTCTTATAACTACCATGTTAAAAATCATTGGCCAGCTGGATGTGGTGGCACCTATAGTCCCAGCTACTCAGGAGGCTGAGGCAGGAGGATTACTTGAGCCCAGGAGTTTGAGGCTGCAGTGTGCTATGATTGTATCTGTGAATAGCCACTACACTCCAGTCTGGGTAGCATAGTGAGGCACCATCTCTTTAAAACAAACATCATTGACCTCTTTACCCTTTAAGGCATTTCAGTTTGTGGTTAACTGAAATTCCAGAATGTGAGAAGATTTGTTTGTCAGTGATGGTACAAAACCCAACCCTGGCTTGTCACTTAACCTGAGTCTCATTGTTCTCATTTGTAAAATGGGGATTAACGCCTACTTCTCAAGATCATTTTAAAGATAGAGATTATATCTACAGAGAGTTTGACACATTATCAAATCTCACTAACTTGCTAACTAAGGCTGTGGGCTCTATACCCTGGTGTACTCTTACCCCTTTCTTTTTTTTTTTGAGACAGAGTTTCGATCTTGTTGCCGAGACTGGAGTGCAGTGGTGCGATCTCGGCTGACTGCAACCTCCGACTTGCAGGTTCAAGTGATTCTCCTGCCTCAGCCTCCCAAGTAGCTGGGATTACAGGCATACACCACCACGCCAAACTAATTTTGTATTTTTAGTAGAGACGGGTTTCTCCATGTTGGTCAGGCTGGTCTCGAACTTCTGACTTCAGGTGATCTACCCGCCTTCGCCTCCCAACGTGCTGAGATTATAGGCATGAGCCACTGCTCCTGGCTACCCCTTTCTTTTTAATTAACTAGTATGTGGTTATAGTGGAGGATTTTTGTTTTTCTTTTGTGAAGAGACAGGGTCTTACTGTGTTGCCAAGGCTGCGCTTAAACTCCTGGGCTCAAGCAGTCCTCCTGCTTTGGCCTCCCAAGTAGCTGGGACTGCAGGCACACACACAACCATGCCCAGCATATGACCATAGTGTTTCAACCTAATCTTCTGTTGATGTTTATTTGTTTGAGAATGTCTAGTGAAAGACTGGCCAGCTGAATAAAAGTGATTTCAGCCTGGGAGAAGGTAGGTTTCTTACATTCTTGAAGGAAGAGACAAGTGTTGGGAGACAATAGTTTATTTTTATCTTTTTAAAATCTTTTTTCCCAGTGCCACTAAGTAGCCTTTAATGCATCATGGTGAGTTGTAAAGCTTACTAACTGTAGCATGTACCCAGCAGTCAATCGGCCGATGTAAAGCCTTAACTCATTCTTGGTGCCAGGGTAGCTACAATAACGTTTCATTAGAAATCCTTCCTTTGCAAAGTAGAGTCCCACTCAGTTTAGCACCAGGGCAAGGATCATAATTTGATTCTGCTTAGCTTATGGGCTGTATTGCACTGGGCCTCCTATGGTGCCTGGGGGCTAGGATCATAATTTGAAAAGATTAACTACTTCATGGTGTTCAGGGACCCATCTCTCTTTTGAAAATTGTTACACCTTTACCTAGAAAATAAAGGCTGGTTCCCTAATCTCTTATAAAGTGCTCTTTTGGGCTCTTCTAGGCAGATGCTTTAAAGTGATTGGTTGGTAATCTTGGTATACTTTCTGGAGTATAGAACAGGAACATAAGACTTTGGTTTGGAAAGTCTTCGAGCCAGCAGCTGTCCAGGATGCTTTAATCACATATTTGTGAGCTTGAAATATAATTATATTGTTCCTATCCCATACACAAGACAGCTGGCTATATGTAATATATATTTTTCTGACAAAATATGCATAATTTGGCCAGGTATGGTAGCTCACACCTATAATCCCAGCACTTTGGGAGGCCGAGGCAGGTGGATCACCTGAGGTCAGGAGTTCGAAACCAGCCTGGCCAACATGGTGAAACCCCATCTCTACTAAAAATACACAAAAATTAGCTGGGCACAGTGGCAGGCGCCTGTAATCCCAGCTACTTGGAATACTGAGGCAGGAGAATCACTTGAACATGGGAGGTGGAAGCTGCAGTGAGCAGAGATCGGCTGTTGCACTCCAGCCTGGGGGACAGAGCTAGACTCTGTATCAAAAAACCAAACAAACAAAAAGCATAATTTAAAAATGTTTATGATTTCAAAATGTTAAACATACCAGTAACTAAATGGAGCAACTGTGGCAATCTTGCTACTCACTAGTATGTGCCCTGAGTGAGCCTCAGTTTTTTCATTTATCAATTAGGGTGTGTGTGTGTGTGTGTGTGTACATATTTTAAATTTTTTAATTTTTATTATTTAATTTATTTCTTTATTTGAGACGGAGTTTTGCTCTTGTTACCCAGGCTGGAGTGCAATGGCACGATCTCGGCTCACCACAACCTCCACCTCCTGAGTTCAAGCAATTCTCCTACCTCAGCCTCCTGAGAAGCTGGGATTACAGGCGTGCGCCACCATGCCCAGCTAATTTTTGTATTTTTAGTACAGATGGGGTTTCACCATGTTGACCAGGATGGTCTCGATCTCTTGACCTCGTGATCCACCCGCCTCAGCCTCCCAAAGTGCTGGGATTATAGGCGTGAGCCACCGTGCCCGGACAATTTTTTTAATTAAGTGAATCTTTTTTTTTTTTTGAAACAGTCTCCCACTGTTGCCCAGGCTGGAGTGCAATGGCGCAATCTTTGCTCACTGCACCCTCCACCTCCTAGGTTCAAGCAATTCTGCTGCCTTAGCCTCCCGAGTGACTGGGATTTACAGGCACCGTCATGCCTGGCTAATTTTTGTAGAGACAAGTTGACTAGGCTGGTCTTGAACTCCTGCCCTCAGGTGATCCACCTACCTCAGCCTCCCAGAGTGCTGGGATTATAGGCATGAGCCACCTCGCCTGGCCTATTAAGTGAATCTTAATCTTTTTTTTTTTTTTTTTTGAGAAAGTCTCGCTCTGTCTCCAGGTGCCAGGCTGGAGTACAGTGGCACGATCTCAGCTCACTGCACCCTCCACCTCCCAAGTTGCTGGGACTACAGGTGCGCGCCATCACGCTCAGGTGATTTTTGTATTTTTTAGTAGAGATGAAGTTTCACCATGTTGGCCAGGATGGTCTCAATCTCTTGACCTTGTGATCCATCCGCCTCGGCCTCCCAAAGTGCTGGGATTACAGGCGTGAGCCACCTTGCCTGGCCAGTCTTTATCTTTCTTAGTACAGGCGTATCCTTGTGTCTCTTGAAAGCAGTTTACTTTGATTATTGCTTTTGCCCGGGTCTAAAGACAAGGCTTTAGTTAACTTGAATTTGGTATTAGATACTAGCAGGAGTCAATGCCTTCTTTAGATAATTACAGCCTATATTAGTTTGCTAGGGCCACTATAACAAAGAACCACAGATTGGGTGGTTTAAACAACAGAAAAGTATTTTCTCACAGTTGTAGTGGCTAGAAGTCTGAGATCAAGTTGTCAGAAGGGACCAGGCACAGTGGCTCATAGCTGTAATCCCAGCACTTTGGGAGGCCAGGGCAAGCCTATCATGATGTCAGAAGATCGAGACTATCCTGACCAACATGGTGAAACCCCATCTCTACTAAAAATGCAAAAATTAGCTGGGCATGGTGGCGGGCGCCTATAATCCCAGCTACTTGGGAGGATGAGGCAGGAGACTAGCTTGAACCCAGGAGGCAGAGGTTGTAGTGAGCCAAGGTCACACCACTGCACTCCAGCCTGGTGACAGAGCAAGACTCTGTCTCAAAAAAAAAAAAAGTTTACAGAAGAGTTGGTTTCTTAGACCTTTGTTATTTATTGGCTTCTAGATAGCTGTCTTCATGTTCACATGGTGTTCTCCCTCTCTTGTTTTAAGGATACCAGTTATGGATTAGGGCCTACCCCAGTAACTTTATTTACCTTAATTACCTCTTTAGGGACTCTATTTCCAAATTCAGTCACATTTTGAGGTATCAGGGTTTAGGACTTTATCGTATGAATTTGGAGCAGACGATGATTCAGGCATTTTAGGGCCCATACCTATTTTGTATTATCATTGCTAGTTTTTTTGGTTTTGAAAGCTTAGAAAGTGCATGGCAACATTAGACATTTATTCCCTAGAAATGGAAGGTGTAACTTCAGAGACCTATTCACTTTGAGAGAGTTCCTTGTCTAAGAAAACCCACAGAAAACTGGATGCAGTGGCTCATGCCTGTAATCCCAACATTTTGGGAGGCTGAGGTGGGTGGATCACCTGAGGTTGGGAGTTCGAGACCAGCCTGACCAACATGGTGAAATCCTGACTCTACTAAAAATACAAAAATTAGCTGGGCATATTGTCAGGCGTCTGTAATCCCAGCTACTTGGGAGGCTGAGGCGGAGAATCACTTGAACCCAGGAGGCGAAGGTTGTGGTGAGCCGAGATCATGCCACTGCACTCCAGCCTGGGCAACACAGTGAGACTCTCAAAAAGAGAGAGAGAGAGAGACAGAGACAGAACCCAAAGACAGTCTAGGACAGTCAGATGCTAGAAAAGATTTATTCGTATTGTAGATCTTAAAAAATTCATCGACAGCAAGTAAGGGAGTACATAATGGAAAAAGCCACTGGCCTGCTGTTTCCCTGAGATTCCAGATGTGCTTTTGCAGATGTTCCTCCTTCCAATCTAACCTCCCTTGTCTGCTTCCCCAGTGAGGTCATAAGCAAATATTTGTGTTAGTTTCTTGTCACCATGGTGACTAAAGAAGCTCAGCATGGTGCTCCTTCCAGCTTCACTGTCAGCTGTGCTTGAAGGAGAGGCTAGCGTCCAGGACAGCCTAGGCTCAGTCATGAAAAGCCACGTGTCAGGTAAATAGGGGACAGCAGTTCACAGTGCTGCCTTTAGAAATCTGTCCTCTACCATGTTAGTCTCACAGGGATAATCAGGCCTCAAAGGGAGTGCAGTGGCACAGACACAGCTCACTTATAGCCTCAACCTCCTGGGCTCAAGTAATCCTCCTGCCTCAGCCTCCCAACTAGCTGGGACTGCAGGTGTGTACCACCATGCCAAGATAATTTTTGTATTTTTTGTGGAGATGGGGTTTCACCATATTGCTCAGGCTGCTCTGGAACTCCTGGGCTCAAGCAGTCTGCCCACTTTGGCCTCCCAAAATTCTGGCAATATAGGCTTGAGCCCAGGCTACAATGCCAGTTTAAAAAAAAAAAGAAAAAGATTATTCCAACCTGGCCAACATGGAAAAACCCTGTCTCTACTAAAAATAAAAAAGTTAGCTGGGCATGGTGGTGGGCACCTGTAATCCCAGCTACTCAGATTACAAGAAACTCACTCAAGAAAATCACTTGAATCCAGGAGGCGGAGGGTACAGTGAGCTGAGGTCGTACCACTGCACTCTAGTCTAGGTGACAGAGCAAGACTCTGTCTCAAAAAAAAAAAAAAACTTCGTGGTAAAATGTATGTAACAAAATTTTTCATTTGAGTGTACAATTCAGTGGCATTAATTACAATTACACTGTTATGTGACCATCATCACCAATATCTATTTCCAAACATTTTACTGCCTCTAACAGAAATTTTTTTTTTTTTTTTTTGAGACGGAGTTTCGCTCTTGTTACCCAGGCTGGAGTGCAATGGCACGATCTCGGCTCACCACAACCTCTGCCTCCTGGGTTCAGGCAATTCTCCTGCCTTAGCCTCCTGAGTAGCTGGGATTACAGGCACGCGCCACCATGCCCAGCTAATTTTTTGTAATTTTAGTAGAGACGGGGTTTCACCATGTTGATCAGGATGGTCTCTATCTCTCATGATCCACCCGCCTCGGCCTCCCAAAGTGCTGGGATTACAGGCTTGAGCCACCGCGCCCGGCCCAGAAATTCTTTACCCACTAAGAAATACCTCCCTATTTTCCTTTCCTCTCAGCACCTGGTAACCTCTAAGCTACTTTCTGTCTCTGAGTTTGACTCTAGGGACATCAAGTAAGTGAAATAAGATTTGTCCTTTTGTGTTTTGCTTATTTCACTTAGCATGTTAATTTCAAGGTTTGATCATATTGTAGCATGTATTAGACCTTCATTGCTTTTTATGGCTGAATGATATTCATGGTATACATATACAGTAGTCCTTTTCTTATCCAGAGGGAATATATTTCAAGATCCTCTGTAGATAGCTGCAATGGCAGATGGTACCAAACCCTATATACTATGTTATTTCCTATACATACATACCTATGACAAGGTTTAATTTATAAATTAGGCCCAACAAGAGATTAAAAACAATAATAAGAGAACAGTTATAACAGTATGCCAGCATCATCACTCTTACACTTTGTTAAGTAAAATAAGGATTACTTGAACACAAACCCTGCAATATCTGCTACGAGCTGGCAGTGTATATAGTGTGGATACACTGTACAAAGAGATGATTCATGTCCCAGTTGGAATAGAGCGGGTTAGTGTGAGATTTCATTATGCTACTTGGAATAATATGAAATTTAAAACTTATGAATTGTTTATATCTGGAAATTTCCATTTAATATTTTCAGACCACAATTGTCTATGGGTAACTGACACTTTGCAAAGCAAAACTGTGAATAAGGGAGGAATAGTATAAGAGTACAATTGCTGGATTATATAGTAGTTACGTTTAATTTTTTTAGAAACCACTATTCTGTTTTCCACAGTGGCTGTACCATTTTCCATTCTTACCGGCAATCTACCAGGTTCTAGATTCTAGCCAATGTGTGCTTTTATTATTTTTATTCCATCCTAGTAGGTGTGGATTAGTATCTCATTGTGGTTTTTAAAACTTTTTTTTTTAAAGATGGAGTTTTGCTCTTGTTGTCCAGGCTGGGGTGCAATGGCATGATCTCAGCTCACCTCAACCTCCGCCTCCCAGGTTCAAGTGCCTCAGCCGCCTGAGTAGCTGGGATTACAGGTGTGCACCACCATACCCGGCTAATTTTGTATTTTTAGTAGTGGGGGGGTTTCTCTATGTTGGTCAGGCTGGTCTCAAATTCCCGACCTCAGGTAATCAGTCTGACTCGGGCTCCTGAAGTGTTGGGATTATAGGCGTGAGCCACTGTGCCTGGCCTAAAACTTTTTTATTTATGTTTTTCAATCAGCTTTCTCAGGTTGAGTCATTGTAACTCTACCTCCTGAGTTCAAGTGATTCTCTTGCCTCAGTTTCCCAAGTGGCTGGGATTACAGGTGCCGGTCACCGCCACACCCAGCTAACTTTTGTATTTTAGTAGAGACGGGGTTTCACCATGTTGGCCAGACTGGTCTCAAACTCCTGACCTCAAGTGATTCACCAGCCTCGACCTCCCAAAGTGCTGGGAGTACAAGCATAAGCCACCGTGCCCAACCTTGATTTGTATTTCTCTAAGGACTAACGATGTTGAACATCTTCTCATATGCATATTGGCCATTTATATATGCTTTTAGAGAAATGTCTATTCAAATTGTTTACCCATTTTTAAATTGGGTTGTCTTTTTGTTCAATTGTAGAAATTCTTTATTCTGGATGTTAAACCGTAATCAGATACGTAATTTGGAAATATTTTCTCTCATTCTAGAACATGTCTTTTCACTTTCTTGCTGGAGTGCAGTGGTGCGCTCTTGGCTCACTGCAAGCTCTGCCTCCTGGGTTCAGGCGATTCTTCTGCCTCAGCCTTCCTAGTAGCTGGGACTACAGGTGTGTGTCACTGTGCCCAGCTAATTTTTTTGTGTTTTTAGTAGAGATGGGGTTTCACCATTTTGGCCAGGCTGGTCTCGAACTCCTGACTTTGTGATCCACCTGCCTTGGCCTTCCGAAGTGCTGGGATTACAGGTGTGAGCCACCATGCCTGGCCTTCACTTTCTTGGTAACATCTTTTGTTGTTTGTGCTTTTGGTATGATGTCTAAAATTCCGTTGCCAAATTCAAGGTCATAAAAATTTACCCTTATAGTTTCTTTTTTTTTTTTTTTTTTTGAGATGGAGTTTTGCTCTTGTTACCCAGGCTGGAGTGCAACGGTGTGATCTCGGCTCCCCGCAACCTCCGCCTCCTGGGTTCAAGCAATTCTGCCTCAGCCTCCCAAGTAGCTGGGACTACAGGCAGATGCCACCACACCCAGCTAATTTTTGCATTTTTGGTAGAGACGGGGTTTCACCATGTTGACCAGGATGGTCTAAGTCTCTTGACCTCATGATCCACCCGCCTCGGCCTCCCAAAGTCCTGGGATTATAGGCGTGAGCCACCGTACCCGGCCCTGTAGTTTCTTTTTAATTTTTTTTTTCCCTGATGAGCGGTCAGACTGGATCCTCCATAGTGTCTTCTAAGCGTTTTGTGGTTTTAGATAATATACTTAGGTCACTGATTCATTTTGAGTTCGTTTTTTAATATGGTGTGAGATAAGGATCCAACTTTATTCTTTTGCATCTAGAAATCTAGTTTTCAGCACTGTTTGTGGAAGGGGTGGTTCTTTCTCCACTGAATGGACATAATGTCCTTGTTGAAAATCAGTTACCTGGCCATAGATATAAGAGTTTATTTCTGGACTCTCACCTCAGTTCTATTCTGTTGGTCCATATGCTTATCCTTATGCCAGTACCATACTGTTTTAATTCCTGTACCTTTGTAGTAAGTTATGAAATCAGGACATATGAGTCTTCCAACTTTTTAAAAGAATCTCTTCCTTAGTTTCCATATATTTGTTAATTTTCCAGTTTTTCTTCTGTTACTGATTTCTAGCTTCATTTCCTGTAGTCAGAGAAAATATTTTATATGACTTCTGTCTTACAGAATTTATTGAGACGCTTTTAGTGGCCTACCATATGACCTATACTGGAGAATCTGCTTGAGAAGAATGTGTATTCTGCTGTTATCGGGTAGAATGCTTTGTATATCTCTCTTAGGCCTACTTTATTTATAATGTTGTTCAAGTCCTCTGTTTATTGATCTTCTGTCTAGGTGTTCTATTCATTATTCAATGTGGTGTATTAAAAGTCTGCGAATACCTGTAGGCCAGGGTTGATGGGACAAAAAAGTCTCCAAATATTTTTTCTGTACTTTTGTCAGAACTTGCTTCATGTTTGGGGGCTCTTGTTTATTTACATGCATATTTTGATGAGTTGACCATATGATGTCCTTTGTTTTTGGTAACAATTTATGACTTAAAGTTTGTTTTGTCAGGTAGTCATATAGCTATTCTAGCTCTCTTTATTTGCTTCTTATTTCCTTTTGTGCATATTTTTAATTTTTATTTTGTGTGCATGTAGTTTTTTTAATATTCCTTGTGAACACCATGGGGATTACACTTAATAGTCTTGATTTTGTAACACCAGTTTGAATCAATACCAACTTAGTAGTATACAAAACTCTGCTCACGTACAGTGTTGTTTCCCCCTTTATGCTGTTGTCACCCAAATTTCTTTTTTTTTTTTTTTTTTTTTTTTCCGAGTCTTGCTCTGTCACCCAGGCTGGAGTGCAGTGGCACAATCTCGGCTTATTGTAACCTCCACCTCCCAGGTTCAAGTGATTCTCCTACCTCAGCCTCCCGAGTAGCTGGGACTACAAGAGCGTGCCACCACACCCACCTAATTTTTTGTATTTTTAGTAGAGACGAGGTTTTACCGTGTTAGCCAGGGTGGTCTGGATCTCCTGACCTTGTGATCTGCCCACTTCAGTCTCCCAAAGTGCTGGGATTACAGGCATGAGCCACCATGACCAGCCCACAAATTGTATCTTTAAACATTGTGCGACCAATAATGTAGATTTATAATTATTTTATGCATTTGTCTTTTAAATCATGTAGGAAATGAAAAGTTATAAACCAATGTGTATAGTAATACTGGCTTTTTTTTTTTTTTTTT